TTTTCTATCTGTTGATATCTACTCTCGGGGCCTTGTAAGGCTTTGCTCGTGAAATAGACAGGTTTCTGCCCGTCAGGCGTTTCGCGGACGAGGGTTGCGCTGATGGCTTCGTTCGAAACGGCCAAGTATAAGTACAGTGGTTCTCCTTCGTCTGGCCGAGACAGCACGGGCGGTTGAGATAGGCTCTGCTTCAGATGGCGAAGTGCGTGCTCGCATTCCTCGTTCCATTCGAAGGCTGCTTCCTTTCGGAGGAGCTTGAAGAAGGGGAGGGCGTGCTGAGCGGACTTCGCGACGAAGCGGGACAGCGACGTCAACATGCCGTTCATGATTTGTATCGACTTCTTCGACGTCGGTGTTGGGAGGTCAGAGAATGCCCGACATTTGTCGGGGTTGGCTTCAATTCCTCTTTCTGTTAGATAGAATCCAAGGAATTTTCCTGCCCTAACCCCGAACGTACACTTCTCGGGGTTGAACCTCATTTTGCACTGTCTTGCTTGGGCGAAGACTGTCTTGAGATGAGCCGCGTGATCGGTGTCTGCTCGGGATTTGACGATCATGTCGTCCATATATACCTCGAGCATGTCGCCAATCTGTTTGCTGAACACTTTGTTCATCATGCGCTGGTAAGTTGCTCCGGCGTTCTTCAGTCCGAAGGGCATTACGTTGTAGTAATAGTTGCCCGAGCTGGTCATGAACGCCGTGCAGCGTTTGTCGCCCAGAGCCATTGGGATTTGATTGTATCCCGAGTAGGCGTCCATGAACGACAAAGTCTTGTAGCCGGCCGAATTGTCGACCAGCATGTCTATGTTAGGTAGAGGAAAAGCATCCTTCGGGCAAGCCCGGTTGAGGTCGGTATAGTCAACACACATTCTCCATTTTCCATTATTCTTTTTAACAAGTACAACATTTGACAGCCAGGTGGAGTACCGGGCTTCAGAAATAAAATTTGCCTCTAGGAGGTCTTTTACAGCTTTTTCAGCAGCCTCCGTTTTTTCTGGAGACTGCCTACGCCTACGTTGTACTACGGCCTTGGCGGCTGGATCGATGGCGAGGTGATGACAGGCGACCTCAGGGTCGAGTCCGGGCATCTCTGCAGCGCTCCAGGCGAAGAGATCAGCATTCTTGCGCAGACAGGCCTTGATTTGCTTTCTGGCCAAGTCGGGGAGGTCTTTGCCAATCTTCACTCCCTTGGTCGGGTCTGCTCCGAGAGGAACGAGTTCAAAATCACCGTCCGGAATAGGTCGGAGTGGGATTTGCTCGCTACTGGATGGCTCGTCCTGGTCGAAGCGAGCGTCGAGGGCTATGGAGTCGACCTTTGGTGGAGCCTTCTGGACTTCTTCCTCGGGGGATGCTCTGTCGGGCTCCTGCTTTGTCCTCTTGTTGGGTCTGGTCCCCACGTCGACGGTATCCCGTCCCTTTGAAGCGGCGTTGAAGCACCTGCGGGCAGCGGCGAGGTCTCCCTGGATGGTGGCTACCCTTGCCCTTTTGGTATAGAACTTCATTTTTAGATGGACAGTGGAGGGCACCGCTGTCAACTCCGCCAATGTCGGCCTCCCCAAGATGCAATTGTATAGGGATGGGCAATCAATGACGAGGAAGCGGACCTTAACCTGTCTTGTAGCCGTTCCTTCCCCGAACGTCACCAGGAGCTCGACATAACCCCAAGGTTTAGAAGTCGAGCCGTTGAAGCCTTGAAGGTCTGAACCCACATACGGAGAGAGATGTGAGTCGTCCAGTTGCAAGGTCCGGAACAGCTGGCTGTACATCACGTCGACGGAACTCCCTTCGTCGACCAGGATGCGATGCACGTCAAAGTTGGCCATTCTTGCCCTTATCAGCAAGGGAATGACTGCGTTCGGGGCTCCGCCGGGGAGCTCTTCCAGGTAGAAGGTGATGGGCTCTGACCTGCCCTTCACCCTTTCGAACGTCACAGTTTGAGGGGGAGCCAGGTCGACTAGCTCGTCCAACTTCCTCTTAGCTGAATTGATGGTGAGGTCGTTGAACCCGCCCCCGGTGATGACCATGGCGGAGGGGAAGTATTCCCACCTGCTGTGTGTTGTCAGGGGCTCCTGCAAGAGCTCGGGAATCTCGAAGTCCTCGGGCCTGGTTACCGAGAAGGCGGTCTGGATAGGCACCGACTCGTCAGATGGTCGGGTATCTTCTTCGGGCTCCTTAGCTTCATGGGCGATACGACGGGGAGCGTCGTTTCGCCTGTACTGTGCGAGCCTCCCTCCCTTGATGAGGGTTTCGATGGCGTCCTTGAGGTGGACGCAGTCCTCTGTCAAATGACCATGACTCCTATGGTATTGACAGTACTTATTTTTGTCTGCCCCTGGCTTGGAAGGAGCAGGTCGGGGACGCTTGACGCCACCGTCTCTGAAATCTGTGCTAGCACACTCCGCCAAAATACGCTCGCGGGAAGCCGTGAGCGGAGTGTACTCGGTGAAACGGCCCGAGGGGCCCCTTTGTTCCCGGACCTCCCGGGGTCGGTCTTCTTTCCTTTTCTCCCCGGTACGTCGGGGAAGGGGGTCTTGTCGCGAGCTGCTGCTATGATTGGGAGCGCGAGCCCTGGAGTCTCGGGCCCTGTTGGCAGCTTCTCTCTCCTCGTAGTCCATGTATGCTCGAGCTTTGTCGAGGAGAGCGTCAAAAGTTGGAGGTGGCTCAATACCCACAGCTTTTCTGAATTCTGTGCCGGGGAGGAGGCCCCTCTCCAGCAAATATCTTTTCATATGGTCCGCGCAGGGGACCTGTATTGCTTCCCGGTTGAAGCGGTTGATGAATTCCCTCAAGGTTTCATCCTGTCTTTGGATGATGGCCTCGAGGGCCGCCTCGGTCTTCGGGTGGCGCCGAGAAGCTGTGAAGGAACTGATGAACTAGTTCTTCAGGTTCCGCCACGATGTAATTGAGCCCGGGGCGAGCCCTTTATACCAGTCCATGGCCGCCTTCCTGAGAGTTGTGGGGAAAAGACGGCACTTGATGGGCCCCCCGACATTATGATAGTGGAGCATGGCTTCGAACCCGTCAATGTGGTCGACCGGGTCCGCTACTCCGTCATACTCCTTCAGATGCGGGGGCTTCTCCATGCCCGGGGGGATAGGTGCATCCATGATGGCCTGCGACAGGGGACCGCGGGGGTCGTCCTCGTCGCTCCTCTCCGGAGAAAGAGAAGGGGTCCTGTAGTTATGTCTGGCACGATGATCGTGCTGTGTTTCCCTCGAGCGAGATACTCGGTGGTTGAAGGTTACGCGCCCGTCCCCGGAGTGCCTCCTGTCGTGTCTTGATGGGTCGCGACTGGGTTCTCCGGCAGAGACGGCGGGCTGTCTCTCATAGTTGGGCCGCCTCTGCTTTGGTCGGGGAGAGGGGCTTCTTGAGTTCTCCCTGTAATGTCTCCGCGGGGGAGAAGGGTGTCGAACTTCTGTGACCTGAGGAGGTGGAGAATGTGGCCTCCGATGCCTCCTCGGGGGTCTCCTGTCGCCTTCAAGCGCCCTTAGTCTTTCTCCTTGGGCGAAGATGAGGCGGTTTGTTTGATTAATGGCCGCGAACAGTGCCTGAGTCGTGGCATCTGCCCCGGCGAGAACTGGGACCTCGTGGAACCGGGCAGCCCTGTAATGAGCGAGAGCTATCGGGTCGTCTTCGAGTGCTGGAGGGGTCGTAGAAGATGATGCAGTAACCCCGTCCCTGCGGGAGGAAGGTCCAGGGGCGGTGGTCATAGGGATGGTATTGTGGCCGGGATCACCGGGATTGTCGAGGTGTCCATTCTTGTCCGCGGGGCCGTTATTAGTGTCGGCGACACGGACGGGCTGCTCGTCGTGAGCTGGGTCAGCCATGACAGGTAGTTGAATTGAGCTTTGGTCCTTAGAATTGTTCGTTAGACGGGGAAGTTGTTCCCACAGACGGCGCCACTGATCTGACCTGATCAGAAATGGACCGTCACGGCTGGCTCCGAGCAGAAAGCTTTTTTGAACGAGGTGGGGGGGGGGGTACCTGCAAGACACTCCGATGCTGAAGTAAGTAGGAGTACGAGCAGATAATAGTAAGTTGAGGTTAGAATGATGAATACCTGACCCTCTGGAAACAGAGGGTATTTATAGCCCCCAGCGCTGGGCCAAGGTTCCTTCATTGGGCCGGGCGAATTTGGCCCAATGGAGGAACTGCCAGGTTCTACGTGGGTAGTGGGGACCCGCACGTGGTCCCCTTCCTGGATGTTCTGCGTGAAGTGCGGGCGGACGAAGACGCGGTCTTTCCGGAGTATCATTGAGGGAACGGTGGACTGAGTCTGCCCTAGCCGGGATGCTCGAGACAACGTCGAGCTGGACAGCAGGGTGTCGAGCTGGACGTCGAGGCGTGGAGCTGGACGGCAGGGTGTCGAGCTGGTCGTCAGGAGGTGGTGTTGGACGTCACCACGTGGAGTTAGACATCGGGATGTCGAGGTGGATATCAGGATGTCGGGCACGGATGTGACCCCCTTTGCCCAGTGTGGTCCTCAGTAAGTCCCTTTGGACTGGGCCTTAGTAATGCTTTTGGGCCTGTCGGGCCCAGTCCAGAACATATCATATCTCAAATATTTTGAAATTATTACATTTTCTTATCCTTTAAATAATTGAAAAAAATCTTGAAATACACCTAATTGAGATATCCATTCTTATACTTATACTTTAAAAGGCACATAGTTCTCTCACATGAGCCAATATCTCATGCATAATGATTATAAACTTGTATAGAAAAAATTACATAGAAACATATGTACAGGTACACTAAAAAAAGGAGTGATTAATTAAATTATAGTGGGGTCACTGCACTCACATGCTGGGCTTTGGGTTCATCTATGCTTAAGAACACATGTTAATGATATTATAATTAAAAAAATTTAAATGTAATAAAATCATATTTTAAATTTCAAACATTGAATACACGCATTATAAAAAAATATTTTTATAAATAGTTTAGCTAGCCAAAAATGGCTACACACAAAATATACAACTCTGGTACGGCATTGTGGATCACTCTTTAGCTTCTGCATCAATACCATCTTCGCATGCAATCTCATCATCTATCCAAGTAAAATAATGTGTAAGGAGTCATACTCATCACATCACAAATAAAATGTTCAAAAAAAAAGAAGAATTTCATGTTGGGTACCTTGGGAATATGATGATACGATGGTCCCATCACAATGTGGGGCTTGCTGTTGACAAAATGTTATTATTATTAATATACAAATTAAATATGTTTTTAAACACATGAAAAAAGTCATAGAAATAAAAGAGTTTTAGTTATTAACTGTCAAAAAAATTAAAGTGCATGCAAATGTATTTTTTTTTCTTTCTAAATTATCTCAGAAAAATTTATTTGTATTGAAATTAGTTTCTAGTATCATTTATGATTATTTGATTTTAACCTTTTAAAATAAATACTAAGATGAATATTACAAAACTAAATTCTAATATTAAATAAGTAAAAAAAAATTGATAATTAATTAATCATGACATTGTGTACCTTTTCTATGAACAATTGTTCAATAGTTGTGTTAAGATCACCTTTCCATCGTAAATTTTCCTCTTCAACTTCAATTTCTGTCAAGCATGGTGCTTCTGTGACTCCTAATGAAAAATTCTTCATTTGAGGACATCCTTTAACAACAAAACGCACCAAAGATGGGAATATGAATGTTTGTTTCCCACTTGAGAAGCTTCTTAAACTTAACAAAGTAATGAACTTCAAGATTTTCAAATTTTCAAATATGATGTCTTCCTCTACTTTTTCATCATCAATCTTCACAACATCCAACATCTTCTCACACTTCTTTATTTTTAATTCTCTGAGCTGAACTAAGCTTTTAGCTGTTGAAGATGTTATCAAATAAAACAACTCTTTGCAATCATTCACCTCCAAAGTCGTCATATTTGTGAAAGATGTGGACGATGGTATCAAGCATATCAAACTTGGACAACTATTTACGTATAAACCTTCAAGATTCAATGGAAAATCTTCGTGGCAAATATAATTCATCTTTTCCAATCCATAAAGCCACAATTCTTTTATTTGCTTAGAAAGTCCATCATTGAGATTGCCAGGAGTTCCTTTTGAAGGGAATAATGTTTCAAAACAACTATTACGCAATTGAAGAGTTGTTAGATTAGGTAATGTTGCATGGAAATCATTCAAAAAAACAGTTGGAGTTTCATCAAAGCGTTGCAAACGAAGAAGTTGTATTTTAGGAAAGATATTTTCTTGACAGTAATCATTCAACATTCTAAAGGCATCCTTTGCATTTATCGCCAACTCCTCCAGGTTGGTGCTTAGCTAAAAAATCAAACCTCCAAAGATTAAATACGTACTACTATTAGTTTATTACAAAGGTAGATAAGGGATGATGGAATTTACCTTTTCAATAGAAAAAAGGGCTTGTTGGGAACTTTCATCCACCAAATACTCAGGTTGTTGCAAGTCTAAATTGTTGAAGGAAAACATTCTCAATGTTTCACAACGACTTACATTCAAAATCTTCAATGAAGGGCATTCTAAAGTATGTTTTCCTTGATAGAAACTCTTTAGTTTTGTCAAACCGCATAGTACCAATGTATTTAGTAGGGGGAAATTTAAACTAATTTCCATTGGTCCGTCTCTCATTGCAACAATATCCTCGACTCCGCAAGAATCTATCTCAAGCATTTCAAGATTTCCAAGATCTTGGCACATGGACAATGAAAAGATGTATAACAAGCCTTGGCACGAAGAAACATCCACCGAGCATAGGTTTCCAAAGTTCATAATTTCATGAGGATCCTCGTTCCATATGTGCTCCAAGTTTGATAAACAAGACAAAGTCAACGTTTTTAATTGACTGCTTTGTTTTATCAATATTGATTCATTAGACTTCATACCTTTAACATCAAATATGGCTTCTAATGAATCACAGTTGTTCACTTCTAGTTCTTCCAATTTATGTAGCACTTGAACAACATTTGATGGAAAAAGTACATGTGATAAGAAATCACATCTTTGCACCACTAGATGTTTCAGATTGCAAAATACATTCTGATGATCCACTTGGCCGTACCATAAATCCTTTAGCACAGGGTGGTTTGATAAAGCTAAATATTTGAATTTAGAAAATGCAACCTGATCAATAAAATTCAAATATCAACTATATATCAATAGAAAAATCAAAACTAATATGTTTTTGAAAATTATGAATGTTTGTTGCTATCAATAGGAAAAAGGTTACTCAAACAATACCTTTTCTTCAAACATTTTTTTTATTGTATCATTTAGGTTTCCCTTCCAATGCCATTCCTCTTCATTTTCTGCAATTTTAACTTTTCGAAGATTTGGTGTACTTGGGTTTCTTTCTGAAAATATCTTCATGTAAGGACATTCTCTCACAATTACTTCCTCCAACAATGGAAACTTCAAGAAGAACTTGCTAGAGCAAAATTTGTTGAGGCTTGGCAAACATTCCAACATCAAAACTTCTAAACTAACAAATGCAATGTCAACACTTTCTACTCCGGTAATTATTTCTTCAAGTGATTTACAATCTCTTACCATAAGTGTTGTGAGTTTCACCAAACTTTGTGCCGTAGGAGTTGTAATTAAACTTTTTAGACCATTGCAACTTATTATCTCTAGATAATTCAGATGATTAAGGGTGACAGAGGAAGGCAACAAATTTGTCAAACTAGAACAGTTAGCAACCCATAAGTGTTCAAGGAACTCAAGAACTGGGTCAATTCGAGATCCTTCCTCACATATTTGTTGAAGTTTATGTAATTCACTCAATTCCAGAATTTTGATCCGACTATGAGTCTTCTCACTTGTTTGTTTTTCGTTTTGAAAAATCTTCTTGAAGCGACTCCACTCAACAACTAACACCTCAAGAGTATGCACATTACTAAGAAACCAATAAGGAAATGTAGACTCTTCATTGTTATAAAATCCTAAACCAAGAAATGTCAGTTTGGTAAAGAGGGCACTTGAGTTTTGGGCTTGCAATATCATGTCAGCATCCTTTTGTTCTATCCTCAACCTCTCCAAGTTTGGAATAACCTAAAGCATATGTAAAAGAAAGGAACATTTTATTCATACATATATAATAAATATTTGATATTTTAAAATAATAAAACAAAGTACTTATTATAAAAAATAAAATAAATAGAGTCCTGTTGTATATGTAAATTTACATGATATACATACCTCTTCGGCGATGAAAGGTGGTTGTTGAGTTACGACTGAGAGTTTGTCATGTTGAAAACTACTTTTAGAGCTGCTTGTGGAAAGAGTTCTATACAAGTTCAATTTTGAACATCTCAAAACATCAATTTTCCTCAAAGATGGACATGATAGAGTATGCTCTCCAACATAGAAACACTTGAGTTTGTTCGAGTTCCAAAGCACTAGAGCATTCAGTTGATTAAACATAAATATGGGAGATGCACACACCCTAGATTCTTTCTCCTCTGCAACAATTATATTCAAGCTTGCACAATCTTTTATCACAAGTTCTTTGAGAAGTGAACAACTAGTAGTGGCTACAGAAAATGGTAATAGATACTCCAAACTTTCACAATCAATTAGTTGCACATCTGTTAGATTTTGAAAGCTAAGAATTTCTTTAGGATCCCGACTCCATATCTTTTTCAACTTCGGCAATCCAATTATTGTAACTTCTTTCAAATGTGTTGTATCCTCTATACAGCTGAAAGTCAATTCAAATATTTCTTCCACCAAAGAACAATTTGTAACCTCCAACATCTCTAATTTGTTATAAGTTTTTTGCATTGAAGAAGGAAAAATTACCACAATTCTTTTACAATTGTTCACATGCAACGACTTCAATGACCCAAATTGGTGGTGCCATATTGTCTTCAAGTTGTCCATATCCTTCAATATTATTTTCTCTAATTTCAAGAAAGGAACCTATATGTATTCATAAATAACCGGTATAAATTTAACTAAACAATTTTTTAATGGAAGTTTAAAATAAATTGGAATATTCCTAATGGTAGAATTACCATACCTCATTCAATGGATTGTTTCCCTCTTCTTTAGATATTATTTCTTCCATCAAAGGACAATTACTTATTTCAAGGTGTTTGAGGTTCTTAAAACTTTCAACCACCGTAGAAGAGAATAAGTATTTCAATTCGCCACAACTCTCCACAATCAAACTAGTCAAGTTGTACATGGAATAATCATCCCAAATTTTACTCAAATTGAGTGAGCTCAATTTAAGGATATCCAAATTAGGAAATACAACCTACATAATAATAAATTAACATAATTAATAATTGAAGGCTTATATTTGATAACATAATTAATAATGCAATTTTTTAAATCAACATTAAGAAAAAGGTTTTTAAAATAAAAGAAATGGATTTTGTATATATATATATATATATATATATATATATATATATATATATATATATATATATATATATATATATATATATATATATATATATATATATATATATATATATATATATATATATATATATATATATATATATATATATATATATATATATATATATTAAAAAATAAGAAAGAGTAAATAATAAATATATACTTCTATCCAATAATTAAAATATTACTTTAACTAAACAACAAATAATTTAAAATTGGCAAAACAAAACAATGTAGAGACATATTAGAATGACAAAATAACAGACAATTTATAAACACATTTATAGTCCAAAAATTAAAATACATAAAATATTAGAGAACATTGTTAAACAAAATAAATTCATTTTATTGATAAATACAATATCTCTTAAATTTAATCAGTTCATCTAAATATAAAATCAATAACATTATTATATCAATCATATAAAAATCGTCAATCAGTTATTTTAATTTTTTAATGGATATTACATATGTTTTTAAGGCATAATCTTAAAATATATTATGACATTTCAAAAAAATCAAATACTAAAACAATAATATATTTAATACATTATTAAAACTTGTTGACATTATAAAAAAATTAATAATTGAATAGTATCCATATATTAAAAACAAGTTTGTGATTTATAGAAGGTTTAAAAACAAAATAACATACCTGGACATTGAAAAATGGCGTAGAAGAAACATAAGGTTCCAAACCTTGATACTTTTTCTTACTTTTGGAGTGTGAGAAGAAATTATCGAGTGTCTCCAAATGTTCTAGAGTCAGAGAACGCAATTGAAGGAACTCAATTTTTTCATTATTTGCACTTAAATTGTTGTCTTCGAGTACTATATCTTTCATAGAATTGCACTGACAAACTTCAATCTTAGAAAGGTGGGAAAGTCGTTTAACCATTGTAAAGGAGAAAAGATATTTTAATTGGAAGCAACTTTTGACTTTGATAACACTAAGACTTTCAAAAGAAGTAGCTGAAAGTGGACGAGATATATTTTCTAAGTTTTTAAGATTATCAAGTACCAGAGTTTCCAAGATGGGAAAGGACACATGGATTTGATTCCTCTCTTTAGAGTCAACAATGTGTTTCATGTTTGCATTATTTTGGACGTGGAGATGTTTCAGAAATGGAAATCCTTCCCCATTTAGGTCATAAAGCACATTTTGAATTCCATCTACATCATCCAAGTACAAATTCTCAACACCTTTAATCAAAGCTTTAATTCCGTGCTCCAAATGTATGTTGGTACCACCAAGTTTAAGCATCAATGTTCTTAAGTTTTCATCTTCAATGTCAGACCATTCCCATACATCTCCAATAGCTATTCTGTATCTTTTCAGCTTCTCAAAAATCAGTTGCAAGTCCCTTGGCAACATCCAAGTCTCGCGAATTTGTAATTCTAGAGCTGTCAAGTTGGGTAGTTTCCGAAGCTCGGCAATGCTAGCATTTTCATTTTCAACTGTAGAATTCACATCTGCCCAATTAATAGACGTATTGCCCATTTTCAACTCCTCCAACTTAGTCAAGCTTGATAAGATATTGGGTGGGACTACTTCTATTCCTGAATGGCTCAAATTAAGCATTCTCAATTTAGTCAATCTCCCTATTTCGCTTGGCAACTTGATCATTGAAGAATTCCAGAAACTAAGAATTTCTAAATTTTGCAAAGCTTCTATTACATCCATGTTTTCCAAAACACAGAAATCTAGACACAATGATTTAAGACCGGTTAGGAACCTAAACGAAGTAGGTAATGAAGGCAAGGTCAGATATGTTAAATCTAGCACTGTAAGGCTTTTCATACCCTCAAAAAACATATCTGGGATTTCTAAAGTTCGATTCCTGCTGATGAAACAGAAAAACTTAATGCTTGGACAATCAACCTTTGGAGGAAGCTCGTGCAAATTATGACAATTACATAGAATGATCTGCGTGCACCTGTTCAAAAAATCATTAGTTGGCCATTCCATATCAGCAAATTCCCTTAGAAATACATGTTTGTCCCTGCGTGCTATGGATATAGCTAAATCACGAACAAAGTCATGCATTTTGATCTCTCCGCTTGTTTTACTTTCATGCAAAAGACATGTCTCCTCCAAAGATTTTATTATTGCGTAAAGTCTATTTCTTGCATCATCCATGGTATTAACATGCTTTAATATGTCCAAACCCATTGCAACTTCTAGAGAATACTCTCTAATGTTACCTAGAAGTAATGCAAAAAGCAAGAATAGATCCCTAACTTCATCACTTTCCAATGCGTCGTAACTCAATTCCAAAGCAGAATAAGTTAATGTGTCCATCCCTGCATGATCATTACTTTGTAATTTCCTTAATGCATCGTTCCAAGAATGGACATCCCTCTTATTTCTCATTGCACGTGCTACCATAACAACACGAAGAGGCAAACCCGCACATTTTTGGGCAACTTGAATTGCTACATCTTTCAAATCCCTATTGTTAACCACATCACCAGCCATAAATTGAAACAAGCTCCATGCCTCTTTTTCACTCATAAGTTCAAGTCTGAAAGTGAAATCTTTTGGAACATCCATTTGTACCAACACATTTTGACTTCTACTTGTCATAAACAATTTGCAACCATTATGCTCATCACCAAATGGAATTCCCACATTCTTCAAATCAATTACGGTCCATATATCATCTAGAATGATAAGGATACTTTTCTCTTTCTTGATTCTCTGTCTTAGTCGATCAGCTCTGCCTTGAATAGTCTCATCAGGGAATCGCAGACCCAATGTATCTGCAATCTCCCCTTGAATTGTTTTCAAGTCTGGATTTTGGGATACATGCGTTGTAACCACTTCATCGAACAATTTGTGTTGCTTGGCTATTTGAGAAACTTCCTTCACCAGAGTGGTCTTACCCACCCCACCCAACCCATACACCCCAATGTTGCGTGAATTAGGATCTTTTAAAGCTTCCATAATCTCCTGCTTAAGTGTCTCTCTTGTCTCATATTTTTCATCACCTCTTGTTGAGGAAGAAGAGGCTACTCCATCTAGAGCAGGAAGGAAACCAAGTGGACCAGAAAACCTTTTTTGTTTAAATTGAACAACATCTTTTGCAAGTTTTGTGGATTTCCTGCTTAGTTGATGACGTGAAATCAAATTGGGAAATGGCCATGCTGAGCACCTAAGATTGGCATGGCGAGGATCATTTTGAAGCTGAGCCACTTTTTCAATGACCTCATCCACATTCTTAATCCATGTCTCCACACCTGGAAAAATTGTTTTACCATTTCTCCTTTCTTCTTCAACCAAATGGATCATCCTTTGTCTTTCATCATCAAGATCTTTAACATCATCAGCTAACATTTTGAAATTGGCTTTGTAGCATATCAAGTAACTTGCTTGACGTCCAATAGGAGCAACAGTATACTCTGAGACCTTTCCAACAACAGAAATTACAATATCCATTGATCCTCTTTTTCTTCCTCTTCCTTGTGACTTGAGTCGATCTGAAACCGAAAGTGAAAGTAAAATATGCTATTTTTGTATGATATTAACATATTACTTCTTAATTGGAGAAAAACTGCAAATTATCTCTTTAATGGAAAATAGAGAGTTATTAAATCAATTAAATTGACTATCAATTAAAACTATTGAAAATAATACTTTATCAAATAGTTTTGAAAATAACAAAATATATCAATTATAAAGTTAAATCATGAGTTAAAATAAATAAATAAAATAGAGAGTAAATAGAAAATAGGCAAAAGAATGAAGAGCACGATGGATCTCTAACCTCTTAGAAACAGCCGAAACAAAATAATCTGCAAACAAACAAAAGAAAATGATTTGTTTACTCTTTATTATCACTAAAGGAGACATCAAATTAAATCGGCTATTAATTAAAACTATTGAAAACTAGAACTAGAAATTAACATATACATTTTTGCAAAACAATAATAATAATTATGGAACATTTTAGAAAACAATTACCTGAATATTTTATCAAATAGTTTTAACAGAGTAATTAAACTTGAACCGGATGTTGGAGCACAAGGTTGAAGATGAAGATAGAAAAAGAGATTGAAGAAAGAATGGTAACTAACAACTAACAAATTTTCTCTAGAATTGAAATTGGTTACAAAAATTGAACAACACACGCATTTGAATCATCCATAAATTCCAATTTTTTCCATCAAATACTGAAAGCTTCATATTCAAGCTATTTTCACTGTCAATCTTCGTTCTTGTGCACTAAAACTAACTCAGAACTCAACTCTCACCAAACACTTGTATTTTCCGATCCCGTAGAAATCAAGAAATGCAATTCTATTACGATTTCAATCGTGAATTCAACGTGAAGTCAAGCAACAAAATCAATTACACATGTCTCATGTACACTCGTGTTTCCATGTGAATCGAACCATACTCTGATATCAATTGTTGGAGCACAAGATTGAAGATGAAGATAGAAAAAGAGAGAGAAGAGAGAACTGTAACTAACTTCTAACAAACTTTCTCTAGAATTGATATTGGTTACAAAAATGATTCACAAGCACAAACTGAAAACAAGTTCAGTTTATTTACGAAAAGGGAAATTAAATGCATCACAAATTAACTTTAAATAAAACTTAAAAGAAATGCTAACTAAGTGTTGGATTTGGATTACACTTCAACACCAAACATTGAATCGTCGTGCCTACTATTCAAGGTGGTTTTCAGGTTAGACTATGATTGAACTCCGATTAATCTGTTTATAAATATAATTTTTTTTTATATATAAGAAAAACAATGCATAAGAATAATTATATTTTAAAATTATATAAAAAATTATTGATAATATGTGAATAATTAATATTTAATAGTTTATTTAATTTTCTATAACTTTTGATATTTTTAAAAAATTTATACTTAATTATTTAAAAATATTTAAAAATTATCAAAAAACAAAATAATACAAAAATATCTAAAATGTTTCACTTTTTTTGTGTTTAAAAAATGCAGTTTACTTGATAATAAAATAATTAATTTTAATTTTTACCGAAAGTAAGCCAAATTTTAAAACTAAAACCAATGAGACAATATTCTTTATAGGTCAAGCTTTCATTTAAATATAATAATAATAAATGAATAATTTATTTTATATTTTGTATTTCATTCATCAAATAAATAAATAAATAACAACAACAAAAATTGAGAATAGTTTTTTTTTTAAATTTGATTTTTCTATGTTAATGTGTACTATAGCAATTGTAAAAGAAAGAAGTAAAATCAAACAATATTTTGATTCAAAACAAACCCTTTATCTTTTTATAAATTAAAAGCAATAGCTGATTTAGTGTTAAAATTCATCAAAATCTTTTATTTTCGATTTTTGATCGGTTTTCAATCGATTTCTCAGTTTAGATCCTGATTCTTTTACATGTCAGTTTTTAAATGTAAACAAATCAATTAAAATTCCGACTCCCGATCTGACCGGTTGAATCGGCCGATCCTGTCCGATTTTGATGACCATGAAAAAGAAAGATATTAAAAGAATTGATTTATGGATCTGTTACCTCTAAGAAGAGAAATAGAAAATGGATTGAAGTTTGTGGAAACCAAATGATCTGCAAACAAAACAAAGAGAAAGAAAGATATTAAAAGGATTGATTTACTCCTTAATATTATCACTGAAATGAAAGAAACAAAGAGAAGGAAAGATATTAAAATGGATTAAGCTGAAGGCAAATATCTGTTACCTCTAACTTAGAAAGCTGAAGGCAATATCTTGGTAAGTTGAAGACTCAAATATGAAAGAAAATTATTATTTCGTTTCAGTTAAAAAGCAATAAACAGATTGAGGTACGTATGAAATGTAATGCTTGAATTTAATGGGCTCAGACTAGTACTGTAAGACACATTATTTTGTTTCCACTCAAATTTCAAAAGCAATAAAGTTGTTCACCAAACTGCAACCTTTGAAATGAATGTAGCCAAACTGAATGTCGCTTGTACACTCTAACCAAACACGTCCCACCACAAGATAATGCTCATGTGTCGATCTCTTGAGCACTCCACAGATTTTCTTATCCTCTCTATCATCACTGTTTATATACTATTGTTCATCCGTACTGTTTATTGGATGTTTAGAATAAGTCAAATGTTTTATAATAGTTTTTGTAATCGTTTCGAGTAAATAGCTTATCTGGAAAAACACTTTTGGAAATTTCGAAGAAGAAACTGGTTTCTGTTGCGATATTCAGTTATGAGATTTGTCATTTAGTTGGAAAAATCGACTTCCAGGTTTTGAGAAATTGATTTCTGTCGCGATTTTTTATTTTTTCTATTGTTTTGTGAGACAATTTTAGTTGATGTGTGTTTTAGTAGTATCCTATAAATACCCTCTTGTAATATTATTTCAGTACGTGATTAATGTCAATTTATGAGTTTCTCCTCAATTACTCTCTCTCTAATAATCTCTATTTTTTTCTCTAAACTTCATCTTCTCCAAATTAACCACGTTTCACTATTAATTCACGAACTTCATTTTTGTGTATGTTCCAACATTTGACATCAATAGTCTGGTTTTGATCCGTTAACCCGCTGCAAATTATGTCTACCGTTTTCAGTGATCGAATACCTACCAACCTTCCAATTTTTCAGTGATGACATCAAGAGTCTGTTAGTGCATTAGTTTAGCAGTGTCACTACGGTTTTGGGGCGAACTGTGATGACTTTGGTGTTGTTGTATGTGCATTTTGTAGTAGTGATATTATGATAAAAATCATGATAATAATGCGATAAATAACAATAAGTAAACAATAAACCAATAAATAAACATGGAAACAAAAACATGTTATAAATAGAAAGCACTCCAAAAACCTAGACCTAAAAGATAGGAAAATAAAGAGTCGCCACCATTAATTTTGTCTTAAGGACGGGGAATAACGAGTAACCTTGATTTGTACAGAGACTCTAAATTCGTGAGTTGGTTAGACGAAGGGAAGGTGTTAGACACCATTCATCACCCTTGTTCTCAAGAGGCTCCTTTTCTAGGTCGTAGGATAAATCAGGAATTTCTAATTAAATGTTGTTGTTTCCATATGTTTAAGAAAATAATCTAGTTTTTTAGTTATGAACTAATCTTGGTTTTAACTACGTGTCTACGTATCTCCTTGCGAAGATTCATAGTCCAATTTCGTAGTTTGTATGTGTTTGGTTAGTTTTTTTTATGGATTATGTAAATGCTTTCGAACGATTCTTTGAAATTCGTCCGAGTTTGAAAATTGCATAGTCGTGGCGTAGTTCGAAGTTTAATTTAAAAGCAAGTTCACAATCTTTTTTTTGAAAATAATGTTAAATTTGAATTAAGTTAGTAGAAAAAATGTCAGGTTTGATTGGTTAGATGTCTTGAATGCATGATAAAGTTTGAAAATAATGATGAAAAATTGTTTGATGAATGGATAGAAAAAAGGTTAGTATTTTAAAAATAATTAATAAATAATTATTTTCTTATTATTAGAAATATATCAAATATTGTTAATAATAGTCAAATATTTATTTACTAACGTGATTATTTATAATAAATAAAAAATATATAATTTTAATGCAAATGATAAAAAAAAATGATATGAGAGAAAAATTGATAATTATATATAATATATAAATTAAATAAATTAATTAATTAAATAAGTTAATTAAGTAAATTATTTAAATAAAAATAGGGGGTGCAAACTTAGTTAATATAGCAAAACCGGGGGTTAGAATAATAAGAGCTTAAGCCCATAAACAAATTTGAAGTCCAAGGCATGGGTGTATAAATTTCAGTTGAGAAAATAATCCAGGGGGTGTTGGTAGAATAGGTCTGGCCCAGATAATTGTTTTGAGTCCAAAAGCGTCATGGGGTATGGTGTTATGTTAGGAAAGTAATATGGAGGGTGCTAATAGTAATGGGCTTGACCCAGATAATTGTTAGTCCGTTGATCAAAGTGTGATAAGGTACACATGTTTATGGTGTAAATGAGGTAATCTGGAGCGTCCATTCCAATCAAATGGCCATCAAGAGTTGATCTCGGGGCGTTAGTTGGAAGTATAAAGAACGACCGGTGTAGATGAGGTGTTGACTGGAGGAGCATGGTGTGATACGATGGGAGAACTAGCTTGGGTGTTTTGAGTTTGATCGCAAAATATTGCAGTTAGCAAGAGTCGCCACCGACTTTTCTTTTATCCAAAAGGAAAGGTAAAAAAAGCACAGGAAAGACCTTTGAGATTGTTTCTTGAGTTCGGGGGGTAAATTATGAAAAGGGAAGGTATTAGCACCCTTTTCATCCATGGTTTTCCACGGGCTCTTAGTTACTTGCTAGATCACTTGCTTTATATTTGAAATTGTGCTTTGTGTGGGTTTTTTTGAAATTATTTTGTAAAGAGGCCATTGTTTAGGAAATCTTTGTAATGATTCTCGTTCGTAAGAATGTACACAAAGATGT